GCGTCACCATCTCAGGCCAATTTGGGATGGGTGCCCAGAGTGCTACCGTAAATGTGCCACACAGGGGCGGAGCCGCCTAATACTTATCTCGGCAGCCCACCTAGCGCTCTTTTCTCCACCGGCCCCTCTTTTAGGGGGCCCTACCTAGGAGTAGTCGCCACTCATGGGCGCGACTTCTCACTTTGCTGCACTAGTGCGGCCAGCGCAGCACATTTTAACAGCCTCGCTAAACAGCGATCGGCTAGGCTCACACAGCAATTCGCAGACTCGTCACGGCGGAGTCTCTAGGGGATGGGCTGGCCTAATACTCGTGGTTCGCCCTGGCAGCTCACTAACTAGACAGTCCTAGCCACAGGCGCCTCATGAGAGGAACGTGGCCTCGGCCCCGACGCATCTCTTTGGCCCCAGTCCAGGTGTAGCAGGGTCCCCTTGGTCCCTGTGTGCCTGTGAGGGGCCACACGGAGGTGGGTCTCTGTTGTCTGGTCTCGGCTAGCGCCCAGGCACACCCACCTCCCCGTCGCGGACGGCCCGCACGGGCCTTTCAGCTGCAGCTGCAACTCTTCAGCGCCCGTAAGGCCTTTAACTGTGCGGCATCCAGCCGGCCCCAGTGAGGCCAACGCGGCACCTCTTAGCAGCATCGCTATACAGCGATCGGCTTGCTCACACAGCAATTCGCAGACTCGCCACGGCTGAGTCTCCTAGGTGGCGAGCTGACCTAATACTCTGGGTTCACCTTGGCAGCTCATTACCTAACGATGTTACAGCACAGCCCCGCCGAGTAACTCTCGGCCAAAGCGGCCAACAAAGGTGCCATATATACAGACAGGCACCATGCTCCAGTGCGTCTTGGCTGCGCGGCTGAGGCATGGCCGCGGCAAACATATATGCCTCGTGGGAGGAACGCGGCACTGGCCTTGGCTTGTCTCTCTGGCCCCCGTCCAGGTGTAGCAGGGTCCCCTTGGTCCCTGTGTGCCTGTGAGGGGCCACACGGAGGTGGGTCTCTGCTGTCTGGTCTCGGCTAGCGCCCAGGCACACCCACCTCCCCGCTGCGGTCGGCCCGTACAGGCCGCAGCTGCAGCGTACGCCCTGCAACACGGCCATGTCATTCCGGCCCTTCTTCCTCTCCCGCCTCTTTATACTTCCCTTGCTCCTCCTTCAGTCCAGATCTCCTCCCATGGAGGTTTGGACAGCCGCAGTGCGGCCTGGCCATTTTGGCCCTCCGTCCAGCTCTTCCCGCTTAATAGCAGTCCGAAATTCGGAAGGCACTCCTAGGCAGGTCTCTTCTTTTTCCTGCCTCGCACTGCTCTCTGCATCGAGGGCTGCCCTTCTATGGGCAACGAAGCAGGGTGCCGCTGATGTCTCTCTTCGCACGGCGCTACTATCTCCTTTCCTTCATTATGAATCCTCTCCTCTCCTCCTCCAGCGCCAATACCTCTCTCCTGACAGTTTTCAGGACGAGAGCGGAAGCAGCTCAGCGTCCATGCTCTCGGGTTTCTCGTGTGCAGCCTGTGCCAGTCCTTTTGGCCGCAACGCTCAAGCTAACTTGCAACGAGCTAAGTATAGTCAAAAAACCCTCCCCTGGGCCTGGACGGGGCCGGTCGCGAGCGGTCAGGGCGCCCAAAACGTCCTCGGCGAGGAAGCCCAAATCATTGATGTTGCTAAGGTTTTGGCCCCAATTTGGCCTCTTGGGGGGGGGGGGGCAACCCGAATTGAAACCCCCCTCTTCTTTGATCGATGTCCTCCAAGATGGCCCCTAGAAGAGCCCAGGAGGCCCCAAGAGGTCGCAAGATGACCCTAAGATGGCCCCAAGATGCCCCAAAGAGGTCCCCTGGAGGCCCCCAAAAGGACCCCAAGCGGCCCCAAGAGGCCCCGCCGAGGCACCCAAGACGCCCAAGAGACCCCCAGGACCGCCAAGAGATCGCCAAAACGTCCCAAGAGGCCACCATTGGTGGCTTCTCGGAACGTCTTGGGGTATCTCTTGGGCGCTTCTTGAAGAAGCGCCCAAGAGATCCCCCAAGAGGCTCCGAAAAGGCATCCACGAAACCTCTGGCCCTTTGGCTTGCCCTCCTCGTGTTCCTGCTTCCTCGTCGTATTCCTTCTCTTCCTCCTCCTCCTCCTCCTCCTCCTCCTCATCATCATCGACATCAACGCCAGCATCAGCATCATAATCAACATCATCATCAACATCATCATCATCATCGTCATCATCCTACTTCTCCCCACTCCCTCATACATCCATCCAGACTCCTCCTTCTCCTCTTCCTTCCTTCGCACGGTTCGGCCGTCCCCCTCTTTGCTCCCGCACTTTCCTGATCACCTCAACTTGCCTGGACATCGTTTCTGGACGGGTTGGTGGGGATATTTTTTGGTACGCGGGCGCGCGAAAAGAGTCGAACGCCGTGCAAGCCGTGGCAGACCGTGCCACCAGCTAAGGACAAAACATCACATAACGGTGAGCAGCGTCAAACACATAACGGGACGGAGCTCAGGGAAGGCTAGTGGGAATACGTTTTTTTGGTTCGCGGCTCCAAGGCGAGGGACATGAAGCGGGTCAACGTCCGGGGCGCGGAACGAAGATAATTGGCCGCAGTGCCTACTGGTGGGAATGCGTTTTTTTTGTTTTTTGATTGATTGGCGGCTCATCAGGACAGATCCAGGAAGCGGGACGGTCTCGGTCTGGTGGGATTTTTTTTTGTTTTTTGGATCTGCGGCTCAAAGGACGACTCCAGAGAGCGGGTCAATCTCGACAGGGGCGCAATGCGAGACGATTGGCTACGAAGGCACAAAGGCCAACGCCGCAATGCACGTGCGAGGGACAAAATGAACCTCATTAGAGCCGACCCCGGAACGGAAGACGGCAGCAGACTGTGAAGCCGGCGGAGGGTCGCACAGCGGCGCCAGCCCCCACAGACCAAGCCTGCGAGAAAGCGGGAACGCTGTGCGGGCAGCACAGAGCCCGAGGAAAGGCACCGCCAAACGCGGCGAGGAGGAGCAGAAGGGGAGACAGAGACGCAGGAGGCGACGAAAGGGGGGGGAAGGAAGGAAACCTCACTCACAGAGCACCTGAGGTGCTCGAGGACAGGTGCGTCGAACCTTGACAGGAGTCGGCAGCCTTGTCGTCAGAGTCCCAGCCTGCAACTTCCTTGCCACTGTGAATTGGGGGAAGCGCTGCGTGGTACCACCGCAGCACCACCCAGCGGGAGGCCTGCGGACCTGCCCGTGGAAGAACCGCTGGGCTGCCGTGGGCCTCGTGCGCCGTGCACCGTGATAACGGTCGTTGGCGTCGTTGGCGTACGAGAGCAACAAGTCCGTCCAGAGGAAGGGGGCGATGTCGCAAGCGAAGCCAGGGGCCGGAGGGACGGGCCTGACATGGGAAGGCTGTGACCTGCCAAGGGATGGGCCACTTGTACAGGAATCCTGCCTCCCCAGGCCCACCCACCGGTGCCAGCGGGTGATCGCACCCCGCTGCTGGGATAGGGGTGACCACCTCGGAACATGCACGTGAACGTTGCCACGATGGGGGGAAGCCGAGTGGCGTGGTACACCACAACAGTGTGCGTGGAGGAGGGGGAGGAGAGGCGCAGCCGATAGCCGCAAGTCAAGTAAATTAAAAGAGGAGGGGAGAGGGGCAAAGCCAGTGGGCCTTGTGGCGACGGTGACCTCAGTGAACCCAACAGTGACCTGGTGGGAATACGCGAAGCGTCTAGAATTTGCCAGAATTCTCGTGCGTTTCCCACCCCCAAGGAAACATCCTGCGGCTTTTCAAGGGGCCTCCTGGGCCGTCTTAAAAGCTCTGGAGGCTGGTCCACAACTCTCAAATCACTGAGCACTCGTCTCAAAAACGATGTGCGCATGCTCGGCTCTTCGGTCGTCAGGACGGCGAGCGTGGGCCAGGAGGCCCACGAGGCCTTGCAAAGAGCCCACAGACGGCCCGCGGGGGTCCCCGGAGGGGCTCAAGAGGCCCCCCAAGAGGGGGGGTCACCCCAAGAAGGCCCCCGAGGCCGCCTCCAAGCCTTCAAGAGGCCCCCAGAGGGCTCCAGGAGGACGCCGTGATACCCCCAGAAGGCCCTCCAAGAGGTGCCGAGAGGCCTCCGGGACGCTTCGCCTCCAAGCTGACATGTTGGCGCACAGCGGCGCAGCAGTCCTGAAACGCAGCGAAAGCTGTCTGACTCGGACATTGTCGACTGGACGATTGCAGTCAGGGCCTCCACGACGGCCCCAGAGCTCACAACAAATCACTGCACGAGGGGCCCCGAGACCCAAAGACGAACTACCAGTGTCCTCGAGGAAAACCAAGAAGCTTCAACCAACGCTCTGATTCACAAACTTGGCACTATGGCGGGATAAGTCGCAAGCACTCGTATCAATACAGCCGTCCTAATTCGCATCGAAAGGACGCCCGAACCCCAATGGCTACAGAGATGAGAAGTATGAGGAAAATGGAAAGGATGACGCATTTGCTGATCAACTGCAGTCTGAGTTTCAAATTCGCCGGCCCAACGGGCCAGAGGCGTGCTAAGATCTCCGGTAACTTGTCAACAATATTTCTAGTTCGCGCGCGCGGAGCGGCCCCTGGGGGCCCCTGGACGAAAAGTACCCCGGCAAGGTCCCGAGAGAAGCCCGGGAGAAGCCACCAGACCACTCCAGGGGAGGGTATTTTTCGACACCCCTCACGAGGATCGTGGCCTCCGAGGGGGGAGCCGCAATCGACTACCCCCAAGAGCCCCCCAAGAGGCCCTGGGGGCCTCCAAAACGCCGCCAAGGAGCCCCAAGAGACTCCCAAGAGGTCCCCAAGAGGCCCCCAAGAGGCCCTAAAGAGGGCTCCAGGGCCGGCGGCATGAGCGAAGCGATTAAATAATTGAACAGAGGTTTGCGATTCGCAAAGGCCCAATTGTGGTCCCTGCTGGAAAAATTGACTCGCGCAGATCACGCCTGGCAAACTTCACGAGTGCTCCACACAAGCTTGCCGCTGAACAAAACTGTTTCTCTTCAAACTGGCAATGGCACGATACCGACACCTGAGCTACAGAGGATGCGCGTGGACAGGCAAGCTCTTCCTCCCAGCTTGTCGCATCACCGACGGAGAGTGGCTTTACGCCTCACTTCGAAGCTCCTCGACGCGGAAGCGGGCGAAAGTCGGTCCGACCTCTGGAAGCTTAGTGATGGCCTCCACTGCCGTGTCGACGTCGGAGACAAGCGCGTCGCCAGTCAAGATAACCACCGGAGCCAAATTACCTTCAAGCATGGTGGAGGCCCCCGGCAGGGGCCGGCCCCTGAGGAAGTCGGTGAGCGCCAAAATAGAAATATTGTGCTGGGCCAGTATGCCAGTGACTTTGGCCAACGAGCCGGCCACGTCCCGGAGCTCGAAGCGCAGGTACGACCGGACCTTGGACTCGCCGTACCGCTTCAGGGTCGTCACGTCGCTGTTAGGCGTGCGGCGGAGTGGATTGCGGTCCTTAGAGGAAGAACAATCTGCATAAACATACATGTTTTTGAGCTCCGCGCTGACTCCTTGGATCTGCGATGGACCCCCCTCCCTGGCGCGTGGAGCGCGCCAAGGGCGGCGCTGGAGGCGCCGCTAATTAGGGGGGCCCGGCGCAGATCCAAGGAATCTGCGCGGAGCTCCGAAAGCGTAAGTTTGATGCTGGGTTTTCTTCTTCGATGGGGGATCTACTGACCCGGGTCAGTCCAAACCCGGGTCAGTAGGGCTCGGCAGGATCCTGCAGGATCCTGCGCGCAAGTCCGGGTCAGTGCACCCCTGGCTCTGCTTGGGCAACGCTTCGCTGGGGGGCGATCATATCGTGGGGGAAGAAAGGAGCACTTTCGGAGACCCGAAGGGCTCCCTCTAAGGGCCCTAAAGGGCCCCTCTAAGGGCCCCTCTCAGGGCCCCTTCTCTGCAGCCCTCGCCGCCCCCCCATTTATCGCCCCCCTGTTGCGCGCCCCCCGATGCAGGATCAGCGCACCCCTGGCTCTGCCGGATCCTGCAGGATCTGGGGCTCTGGCCGACCCCCGTCGGCCTTGACCCCCGTCTCTCAAGGGGCCCCAGGACATACAAATAAATACACACAAATAAAACGATCCCCCATATTTTCATATAATTTATGGGTTTTTGTCTTCCCGCCCAATTCCCATCTTTTCCAATATTTTCCTTGGGATCGACGATTAATTGTGTCTGTGTGTTTCTTTCTCTCCTGAGTCTCTTTTAGGCCCCCTGTTCGCGCCGGGTCCTGCCGGTCGTGCCGGCACTGCGGCCGCAGCACCAGCTTGCCCGCCAGGTCGGCCACGTCGGCAACCACGGCGCTGGCCGTGGGGAGGCGGCCCGCCCCGCGGCCGTAGTACATGGTCTCGCCCACGACCTCGCCGTTGACGAACACGGCGTTGAAGCTCATGTCCACCTTCTTGGGCGTCGCTCAGTGGGGGGCGACAAGTGAAAGGGGAAGGGCCACAAAGGTTCCCGTCGGGGCCAGAAAGAGCCTCTCCAGGGGGGCACTAAATATGGGCCCCTTGCATGCGGCCCTCCCTGCCCCCCCCCCATTGATCGCCCCCCCCCCTTTCGTGGACCAACCTTCGTAAGGTTGTTGGCATGCCGGGTCGACGAGAGAAGGCACGTTGCGCCGACCCTCCAATGCTGGTGCGTGCCCGGTGCGGCTGTTCTACTTCAGCCCTCGGGCAGGCGCGTGCCTGGTGCTGCTGCCGGCGCCCGCCCGTCGACGCTCATCGGCGCTGAGCCGATGCTGATCGACGCCGGTCGACGGTCGACGCTGACTCTGCGAGGTCCCATTACTTCGTTACCCGATGCTTCCCGAGACACGGCTCCCAGGCTTCGCTACCGAATCCGCCCGAGCGGCGAGAACACATGGGTCTCACGCGAAGCGACACGGCGACCTTACGCGGTGGCTTACGCGGGGCAACAGTACGGCACGCCACTCTGCAAACGAGGGCACTCACGCGCGACCTCGCGCGAGCAGCTCACGCGCCAATGCCCACGCAGTCGGCCATACTTTCCTCTCGGTGCTCACCCTCTTGGGGATCCCAAAAGCGTGCAAAAGCAGACCGTGTGGCGACCTCGGAATCCACAACGACCCCTCTGCACGGTCCGACACCGCAAGTTTTTGGAATCCTGGAGGCCCAGGTTGCTCCGGACGTCCTCGGGGAACGATCCACCTTCGAAAGCAGAGCGGTCACCCGGAACCCCCTCTGATTCACCACACCGCGAGGTTACTATTTGGGGCCCGACACCTCAACAGAATTCCAAAAACACGGCGCGAACAGAGACTTCTGGATGGCCGCGCGGATCTCTTGGGTCGGCGCTGGACCCCCTCTCCTGGTGCGCGGGGCGCGCCAGGGGCGGCGCCGACAGGGAGGGAGGGACCAGCTCCGACGCAAGAAATCTGCGCGGACCTCCCACGAATCATGCTCATGACTTCCCCCCCTCGAACTGCGTCGGGTCACGTCGGATTGCTGGAGTAAAGGGATCGAGCCGAGTCGGATCCGTACTGGATCGGATCGATCGGATCGGAATGGACCCGGCCTTGCTGAGCAGGTGGTCCTTCGGCACGAGCGTGGGCTCGATAGAGACCTCGACGCCGGAGGCGTCGGTTCTCCTCAGGACGGCCAGCAGCTTGATGCGGTAGCCGAACTCGGCCGCGTACTGCACGTCCTGGCCGGCGAGGCCGCGGATGCCCTTGACCTCGGCTGGCGGCAGCAGCGGGCGGCCGCAAGTGGTGTGGGGAGGGCAGCAGGTTCCCCCATATGGCATGACACCACAACGCCGATGATGACCCCACACACGCCACACACGCGCAGGTGTAGACACGCTGGCCAACCTGCAATAGGCGAGCCAACACGCGAAACCGTAGGGAGGGAGGGAAGTAGCGGTGCACTCCCCCCTCACGTGCTGCACGTCAACCCTCGGGCTCTGAAGAAGGACGGGCTTGGGGAGTCGTGAGACTCGGGTGCGTGGGACTCGGGTTGGCTTGACGGGGCCGTCAGGGAAATGACGACCCCCAGTTTGAAATCTGACGAACTCCCGCTGCATACATCCTACGAAAACTGGACCGTCAAGACTCGAGTCTTACGCTTCCACGAGACAGGGGGGATATCGAACCAGTCTACGTACTAAACTGATTTGCCAGCGTCTCCCGGCGCCTGGAGTGGCCATGCATCGAAACAAGAACCCGGCGGCGGGGCCGACACCAGCTACATGCAGCAGACTTCGACCACCCCCCTTTCCCAATGAAGAGGGCGGTGATAGGGGAAATTGGGGCGAACAGGAGCAGAGGTCAGAAATCGTGGTCTGTGCACCGGGCAGCTCGACCTGGATGTCGTCCAGGGAGTACTTCCCACCGAAGGCCAGCTGCGCAAGGATCACCGCCTTGTGGGCGGTGTCCCAGCCGTCGACGTCGAGGCTCGGCTCGGCCTCTGCGAAGCCGGCCCTCTGGGCCTCCTTCAGCACGTCGTCGAAAGCGATGCCCTCGCGCTCCATGCGCGTCAGGATGTAATTGCAGGTGCCGTTCAGGATGCCGTGAATGGACTTGATGGGGTTCGCGACCAACCCCTCGCGGAGGGCCTTGATGATCGGGATGCCGCCGGCGACGGCGGCCTCGTAGTGGATGTCGACCGTGTGCTTCTCGGCAAGTTCGAACAGCTCGCTGCCGTGCTTCGCCAGCAAGGCCTTGTTGGCGGTCACCACAGACTTGCCGTTGGTCAGCGCGGTCTCGACGAACTTCTTCGCAATGCCCGTCCCCCCAATCAGCTCGATGACAACCTGTATGTCGGGGTGCGTGAGGACCTCCTGAGCATCGGTGGTGAGGCACCCCGGCGGGAAGTCGAAGCCGAAGGCCCGCTTGATATCCAGATCGGCAGCCTTTGTCAGGACCATGTCGAAGCCCGTGCGCTCCTGCAAAGGGCAGAGAACCACAAAAAGTCACACCAACCCTAGATGGCGACATCCGAATCCTACCCCCACCAACCATCGATTCTCAACCAACCCTCGATTCTCCTGATTCGATGGGAGGCGGGGGTAGGGTTCGAATTTCGCCACGTATTCGACGAATTGCGAACCCTACCCCCGCCGCCAATCGAGCTGCCTGAATCCTCAATCGGCGAAGGTATGGCTCGGATTCCGCCGCCAAAACGGACAACCAAACGCGGACACTTTCCCCGCGGACGCCGGACCCCCCCCCCCCCCCGCAGCCCTCCACCCAAACCCTCCCCAGCGCGCGCAGTGAGCCGAGGAGCGGTGCCGAAGGCACGACCCATGCACGAGGGGCAACGAGAAGGGGGGAGACCCGCTCGGGATGGGGGCCTGGAATCTGAGATCCATCGCCGACATATTCGGCGATGGGCCACCGACAGCGCATCCGCATAACTCCTGGGCAGGATGGGCTACCATGCCCGCATAGCCGGCAAACAATGGGCGACATGGGGTCGATGCATCCCCAACTGAGTCTATCCCCCCCAGATGTGCCCCCCGCCCCGTCTTCGGGTCATAACTCGGGGGCCCGAAAAGAGAGCTGGACTTCAGGCAAGTCGGGACTCGCTTGCACGCCTCTTAGGCGGTGAGTGGGGGGGAACATACCCTGCAAACAACCTTGCCAGAATCTGAACGAAAACGCCGTCGAAGCAACCCGAAGCTGGAAAACCGCAGAGAAGAGACGAAACCGCCCGAACACCTCGAACCCGAAACTTCCCCCCCTGGGCACATCCTCCCCCTCACGCTCCCCTCTCTCAGTTTTTCAGCCTCCCAGACGGCCAGGCGCCGTCGGCGAGGCGCAACTGCTGGAGAGGCCACGCAAACGAACGCGAACCCGTGGGCCCACGGCTGGGAGCTGTTGTTTCGCGCGTCGCCCCTGAGCCCCCCCCCCAGCCCCTGAGCCCGTCCCCCCCCCCTGAGCCGAGTGGTTCTCTCCGAGCGCTGCACCCGAACGCCAAGAGGGCTGCGGCGAGGGGGGGCCGCGGCGCGTGCGGAGGGGCCGCCCGCGGGCGTCCGACACCTTCCTGCCTGCACAGCACGCGCGCACGGCAGGGGGCCCTGCCGCGGGGAGCACGGGGGGCGCACTTCTGCCAGCAGCTGGGGGAACAGAAAATGGCATAAACATAAAAACTCGGAGGTCCGCTCGGATTTCTCGGATCGGCGCTTGGGCCCCCCGGCGGCGCCTCCGGCGCCGCCCCTGGCGCGCTCCGCGCGCCAGGGAGGGAGGTCCAGCGCCGATCCGAGAAATCCGCGCGAACCTCCGAGTTTTTATGTTTATGTCATTTTCTGTTCTCCTAGCAGTGGATCTCTGGTTGGAGGGGGGGAGGGGAGATGCAATGTCCCAGCAACACATTGAGGCCAGCGCGGTGCGTTACAATTGCCCGAGACTGCGCGCACATCAGGCATGATGCAAGGGTCGGACATGCGGGCGGTTATTTAGCGCGCAGGAGAAGCAACTATACGGACACCACAGGTCGTGATCAATACTATTCGGATACAGGAAATCACACCACGTATGGAAAACCACTGTGGCAAACAAAAAGGTCGCAAGAGTGCACCGTCAGCATTTGAGCTGCTGGCAGGCGTCGGGCGGCGGCGCAGGCAAGGGACAGACATTCGAAGTGATGGCGTGCTGCTGTCTAACAGCCCGCCTTCTGCTTCACAATCGGGCGCTCCATTTCCTGCTTCGCAGTCGTGGGGCGTTCCGGTGACAGCCTCGTCTGTCGCAGTTCCCGTAGAGCTGCCAATCGAGCGCCACTCTGCCTTCGCGTCATCTCAGATGCTGGCTCCGTGACCTGTGTGTGGGGGCGGCGCGCCCAGGGGGACGTGGGAGGTCCTGGCATCCCTCCGTCGTGGAACAATCGCGATGGACGGTTTCGGGTGGTTTTCGGCCTCCTGGGGCCCGCGGCCCTCGCCAGGCCCCCAGGACCGAAAGACCCGACATGAAACGCCGCTCCCAGGGCATAGGGGTCCAGACCTGGTCCAGAAAAAAAAGAGACACGATGTGGTATGCCTGGAGGGTCTGGAGGGTCTGGTGGGGGCAGGCCGCCTCAGAGAGAGGCGGGGCTTCTCTCAGAAGGCTAATCCAGAAGCCGCATTGAAGTGATCATTTGTTTTTTGGCCCCCCCTCTGTCACAGAGGGGGTCAAATATGCCCCCCCTTTGTCACAGAGGGGTTCCCAGATGCCCCCCCTCTGTCACGGAGGACCTCGTTCTGGGTGCTCTTCTGCCACGGGAGCTCCCGATACGATTGGAGACGATAAAATGTGATAGCGGGATGGGGGATTGGAGGGGGAGGGAGAAGAAAACGATGAAGGAGAGGAGGCAACGACAGCACCGATGAAGGCACCGATTCTTTTTCCTTCTCCGCTCGGGCAGCGGTCGCCGAGCACGACGGCGCGCGCGAGTCGCCGCCGCTCACGATGCATTGGCAAGGCCTCCGCTGCTGCGGAGGGTCGACGTTCGGCCGATGAGGCCTCCCTCCGCTGCTGCGGAGGGGCGGCTCCTGTGCGATGGTTCAACTAAGCTTTTCCCAGGGATTGGTTTCGGGGGGGGGTTCGACCCACCTCCAAGTCGTGGTCGCGACCTCCCAGTGCCCCTGGCCGCTACTCCACCCACTGTGGCTGCTCCACCAGTCACTGGGGCGTTGGTCGCTGCCGAATGCAACTTGCATGTCGCGCCAGGCGGAGTCGACCATGCGGTCCTGCAGCGAGGAAGCCTCGCCGCTCGGCTGTTGCCACTCGCGCTCCTCGCCCTCCTTGGTGCGCCACCACTCATCCCTGCGCCACTCCTCGTCTGTTGGTTGCTGCCGTGGCGTTTGTGGCCTCCGCTGCTGCGGGGGCTCTGGCGGCTCGTGGCCGAGGGCAGCGATCGCGTCCGAGATGTAGATGGCGGCGCCGCGCTGCCCTCGCTGCTCCAGCGGCGCAGGCCCTGGAGATGGGCACTGCGGGGTCGGCTGCCACCTGGGGGGTGATAAATAATTATTTCTATATCCCCTCCCTGTCAACTCCCGCCCCTTCCCGACACTCATTTCCTTATGTCATCCCTCGTCCTGCTCAGCCTATTCCTCATTCCCTCTCCTCCCTCCTGCCCTCCCCGTGCTTCACCGCCCCTCTCCCCCCCTCCCCCTTTCAACCCCCCGCCGCGACCTTCCATCGCCAGCCGCGGGCATGTCGCGGCCGTCGTCCGCGCTTTCGTCTGCCCATCTTGGTGGGCGCCACGCCTGTTGGGCGCGCTCGTCTTGCTCGTCCCTCTCGCTGTGCTGCTCTGGTGCCTGGCGCTCGGGTCCGTGCTGCTCGGGCGGCAGCGGCGCCCTGAGCGCAGCTGCCAGCTGTTTCTGGGCGCGCCTGTCTTTCTTCTCTTTGGCTCTCTCCTGCTTCCTCCCCGGCGAACGCACGCTGGCCATGCGCATTTGGAACAGGAGAGGGTAGTGGGCGCCGCCGTGCCAGCGCCCCTCCACCTCCACGGTCTCTGGCGGGAACGTCTTCTGCAACGCGCGGAAGAGGGTCACCTCGCGATTACTAGAGAAGCGGTGGTCCCCTCTAGCCTCAGCCTCGGCGCGCCTCAGTTTCTCACTCTCCTTCTCTTGGATCTTGCGTTGGCATTCCTCTGACTGAGTCAGTAAATCCTGGAGGTGCTCGCGGGCGTCTTTTTTCGGGTAGTAGCAAGAGTAAGGCATCCCAGGGCCTCCGTTCTGGCTGTGGTGCCAGTACGTCGGCTGCGATGATGGGCTGGTGGCGGCCCCCGCTGCTGCGGGGGCCTCTGCCTTGCTTCTGTTACGGTACCCGATCTCACCGATCACCGACTTGCGTGCGAAGAGCAACCCCGTCTCGTCTCTGTCGTGCACGGCGCTCAGCGGCCAGCACAGGGTGTACTCGCCAGGCCTGTTGAGAACGAAGATGCCGCAGCTGTCCAAGCACGGAGTGCCGTCCAATCCGCGCCAGAAGTACGCTGCTGCCGTCTCCAATCGCATGCCTAGACCCCGAAGACTCGGCAGCGTCTGTGTGAGCGCCATGTTGAAATCCCCACAAAGGATGTCAACGCTGTTGTCCTGCAAGATGGTCGCCAACCTCGGCCACCACGTCTTGTGAGCCTCGTTAAAGCCTCTGGAATTTTTCGCCGTGTCGCGGTGGAGGTGCACCGCGCACACCCGCACTTTCGAGCCGAAGTGGGCGTAGGTTTGATCGAAGTAGAGCTCAACCACCATGATCCTCGAGAACGCTTCCATCTTGCGCCCTCTTGCTGTTCTGTAGTGGCCGTCGACACTCCTTTCCCAGTGGAGCAGCCGCATTTCGTAACACAGATTTGCGCGCGCAGCGATGCACAAGGACTTGTCCTCACGCCCGCGCAGGGTCAAGTATTCGTACTCTGGTCGATTCTGGAGCCGTTGGCAATCGCCAACACTCGCAGCACGACTTCCTCTTGCTGTCGCCATCGCTGCTGCGGGGGCGACAAAAGGCCCACCGCTGCTGCTGCTTTGGCCCTCCGCTGCTGACGCCCCCGCTGCTGCGGGGGCGTCCGCCTGCAGCGGCGGTGGTCTCCCTGGCCGCTGTAGGATTGACTCCATCTGCTCCTCACATTCCGCAAAGCACGCCACGAGAGCAGGGCAATGCCGCAGCTGCAACTCAAGTCTCCGCCGCTGGTCCGCGTGGTTGGTCTCGCTCGGCATGGAGCCCCAGTTCCCGAACAGGACGGAAAGGTTGCCCACGTTGTCGTTCCGTGGCCTGTTCACGTCAGCCGCTCTTCTTTCGCAGAAGAACTTTGGCGGGACGGTGTCGCGAAGACGGCATTCGCGCCGCTCGACGTCGTTGGGCGGCCTGCAGCCCCTAAATTCCTGAGGCTCTTCGTCGTCGCTCGGATCCACCACGGAGTCGCCTGGGCGGGTGCGTATCGTAGAAACTTCTGATC